TAGCCCCTCACACCCCATAGCCCCCCCCCACCCCACATGCCCATCTATACAGACCCTCCCCATACAAACCCACCCCATAGCCCCCACCCACCCCATAGCCCCATCTCTATAGACCCTGCCCATACAGACCCACCCATAGCCCCCACCCACCCCATAGCCCCATCTCTATAGACCCTGCCCATACAGACCCACCCATAGCCCCCACCCACCCCATAGCCCCATCTCTATAGACCCTGCCCATACAGACCCCCCTACAGCCCCTCACACCCCATAGCCCCCCCCCCATATGCCCATCTATACAGACCCTCCCCATACAAACCCACCCCATACCCCCACCCACCCATAGCCCCATCTATATAGACCCTGCCCATACAGACCCACCCATAGCCCCCCCCACCCCACATGCCCATCTATACAGACCCTCCCCATACAAACCCACCCCATACCCCCACCCACCCCATAGCCCCATCTCTATAGACCCTGCCCATACAAACCCACCCCATAGCCCCCACCCACCCCATAGCCCCATCTATACAGACCCTCCCCATACAAACCCACCCCATAGCCCCTCACACCCCATAGCCCCCCCCCCACCCCACATGCCCATCTATACAGACCCTGCCCATACAAACCCACCCCATACCCCCACCCACCCCATAGCCCCATATATACAGACCCTGCCCATACAAACCCACCCCATACCCCCACCCACCCCATAGCCCCATCTCTATAGACCCTGCCCATACAAACCCACCCATAGCCCCTCACACCCCACATGCCCATCTATACAGACCCTCCCCATACAAACCCACCCCATAGCCCCTCACACCCCATAGCCCCCCCCACCCCACATGCCCATCTATACAGACCCTCCCCATACAAACCCACCCCACAGCCTCCCCCCCCCAACACAGCCATCACCCACCCCATATCCCCCCCCCAACCCCACACCCCCTCCATACCGGGTTGGCTGCGGTGCCGGTGCCCAGTGCCGGGGGTGCGCTGACGCGGGCGGTGTTGGTGGGGGGCGGCGTGGTCCTGCCGGTGGTGCCGGTGCCCGGTGCCCGCCCGTCGTGGCCCAGGCTGCGCCGGTTCACCTTGAGGTCCCGCTGCTTGCTGGGCACGTAAGCGTGGCGCAGGGAGAGCAGCACCGGCCCCGCCGTGCGCCCCGACACCCACTCCTCCGCCTCCATGGCGGGCTCGGGGCCCGCCGTGTCCGGGTACAGATCGTCCTGGAACAGGTCCGACTGCGGGGGGGGGACACGGGGTGAGGGGGGCGCCCCAAGGGGAACCAGCACCGCGCCCCGCACCGGGAACCACGAACAGCCCCCGGTGTCCTGCACGGGGACCCCCAGCACTAGGAATGGGGATGGAAACCCAGGGACCCCAAATGTCCTGCACGGGGACCCCCAGCACTAGGAATGGGGACTGAAACCCAGGGACCCCAAATGTCCTGCATGGGGACCCCCAGCAGTATGAATGGGGACTGAAACCCAGGGACCCCAAATGTCCTGCATGGGGACCCCCAGCAGTATGAATGGGGACTGAAACCCAGGGACCCCAAATGTCCTGCATGGGGACCCCCAGCAGTATGAATGGGGACCTAAACCCAGGGACCCCAAATGTCCGGCACGGGGACCCCCAGCACTATGAATGGGGACCTAAACACAGGGACCCCAAATGTCCTGCACGGGGACCCCCAGCAGTATGAATGGGGACTGAAACCCAGGGACCCCAAATGTCCTGCACGGGGACCCCCAGCAGTATGAATGGGGACTGAAACCCAGGGACCCCAAATGTCCTGCATGGGGACCCCCAGCAGTATGAATGGGGACTGAAACCCAGGGACCCCAAATGTCCTGCATGGGGACTCCCAGCAGTATGAATGGGGACCTAAACACAGGGACCCCAATGTCCTGCACGGGGACCCCCAGCAGTATGAATGGGGACCTAAACCCAGGGACCCCAAATGTCCTGCACGGGGACCCCCAGCACTATGAATGGGGACCGAAACCCAGGGACCCCAAATGTCCTGCACGGGGACCCCCAGCAGTATGAATGGGGACTGAAACCCAGGGACCCCAAATGTCCTGCATGGGGACCCCCAGCAGTATGAATGGGGACCTAAACACAGGGACCCCAATGTCCTGCATGGGGACCTCCAGCACTATGAATGGGGACCTAAACACAGGGACCCCAAATGTCCGGCACGGGGACCCCCAGCAGTATGAATGGGGACCTAAACACAGGGACCCCAATGTCCTGCACGGGGAACCCCAGGAGTATGAATGGGGACCTAAACACAGGGACCCCAATGTCCTGCATGGGGAACCCCAGCAGTATGAATGGGGACTGAAACCCAGGGACCCCAATGTCCTGCATGGGGACCCCCAGCAGTATGAATGGGGACCTAAACACAGGGACCCCAATGTCCTGCATGGGGAACCCCAGCAGTATGAATGGGGACTGAAACCCAGGGACCCCAAATGTCCTGCACGGGGACCCCCAGCAGTATGAATGGGGACTGAAACCCAGGGACCCCAATGTCCTGCATGGGGACCCCCAGCAGTATGAATGGGGACTGAAACCCAGGGACCCCAAATGTCCTGCACGGGGACCCCCAGCAGTATGAATGGGGATGGAAACCCAGGGACCCCAATGTCCTGCATGGGGACCCCCAGCAGTATGAATGGGGACTGAAACCCAGGGACCCCAATGTCCTGCATGGGGACCCCCAGCAGTATGAATGGGGATGGAAACCCAGGGACCCCAAATGTCCTGCATGGGGACCCCCAGCAGTATGAATGGGGACCTAAGCACAGGGACCCCAAATGTCCTGCATGGGGACCCCCAGCACTATGAATGGGGATGGAAACCCAGGGACCCCAAATGTCCTGCATGGGGACCCCCAGCAGTATGAATGGGGATGGAAACCCAGGGACCCCAAATGTCCTGCACGGGGACCCCCAGCAGTATGAATGGGGACTGAAACCCAGGGACCCCAAATGTCCTGCACGGGGACCCCCAGCAGTATGAATGGGGACCTAAACACAGGGACCCCAAATGTCCTGCACGGGGACCCCCAGCAGTATGAATGGGGACCTAAACCCAGGGACCCCAAATGTCCTGCACGGGGACCCCCAGCAGTATGAATGGGGACTGAAACCCAGGGACCCCAAATGTCCTGCACGGGGACCCCCAGCAGTATGAATGGGGATGGAAACCCAGGGACCCCAAATGTCCTGCATGGGGACCCCCAGCACTATGAATGGGGATGGAAACCCAGGGACCCCAAATGTCCTGCATGGGGACCCCCAGCACTATGAATGGGGACCTAAACACAGGGACCCCAAATGTCCTGCACGGGGACCCCCAGCAGTATGAATGGGGACTGAAACCCAGGGACCCCAATGTCCTGCACGGGGACCCCCAGCACTATGAATGGGGACCTAAACACAGGGACCCCAAATGTCCTGCACGGGGACCCCCAGCAGTATGAATGGGGACTGAAACCCAGGGACCCCAATGTCCTGCATGGGGACCCCCAGCAGTATGAATGGGGACCTAAACCCAGGGACCCCAAATGTCCTGCACGGGGACCCCCAGCAGTATGAATGGGGACCTAAACACAGGGACCCCAAATGTCCTGCATGGGGACCCCCAGCAGTATGAATGGGGACTGAAACCCAGGGACCCCAAATGTCCTGCACGGGGACCCCCAGCAGTATGAATGGGGACTGAAGCCCAGGGACCCCAAATGTCCTGCACGGGGACCCCCAGCACTATGAATGGGGACTGAAACCCAGGGACCCCAATGTCCTGCACGGGGACCCCCAGCAGTATGAATGGGGACTGAAACCCAGGGACCCCAATGTCCTGCATGGGGACCCCCAGCAGTATGAATGGGGACCTAAACACAGGGACCCCAAATGTCCTGCACGGGGACCCCCAGCAGTATGAATGGGGACTGAAACCCAGGGACCCCAATGTCCTGCATGGGGACCCCCAGCAGTATGAATGGGGACCTAAACACAGGGACCCCAATGTCCTGCATGGGGACCTCCAGCAGTATGAATGGGGACTGAAACCCAGGGACCCCAATGTCCTGCATGGGGACCTCCAGCAGTATGAATGGGGACTGAAACCCAGGGACCCCAATGTCCTGCATGGGGACCTCCAGCAGTATGAATGGGGACCTAAACACAGGGACCCCAAATGTCCTGCACGGGGACCCCCAGCAGTATGAATGGGGACTGAAACCCAGGGACCCCAAATGTCCTGCACGGGGACCCCCAGCACTATGAATGGGGACTGAAACCCAGGGACCCCAAATGTCCTGCATGGGGACCCCCAGCAGTATGAATGGGGACTGAAACCCAGGGACCCCAAATGTTCTGCACGGGGACCCCCAGCAATAGGAATGGGGACTGAAACCCAGGGACCCCAATGTCCTGCACGGGGACCCCCAGCAGTATGAATGGGGACTGAAACCCAGGGACCCCAAATGTCCTGCATGGGGACCCCCAGCAGTATGAATGGGGACTGAAACCCAGGGACCCCAAATGTTCTGCACGGGGACCCCCAGCAGTATGAATGGGGACTGAAACCCAGGGACCCCAAATGTCCTGCACGGGGACCCCCAGCAGTATGAATGGGGACCTAAACACAGGGACCCCAAATGTCCTGCACGGGGACCCCCAGCAGTATGAATGGGGACCTAAACACAGGGACCCCAAATGTCCTGCATGGGGACCCCCAGCAGTATGAATGGGAACAGAAACCCAGGGACCCCAAATGTCCTGCACGGGGACCCCCAGCAGTATGAATGGGGACCTAAACACAGGGACCCCAAATGTCCTGCATGGGGACCCCCAGCAGTATGAATGGGGACCTAAATACAGGGACCCCCATCCAGCCCCCGATGTACTGCTCGGGGACCCCCAGCAGTATGAATGGGGACCTACACCCAGGTAACCCCAAACAGCCCCCCCGGGGACCCCCATCCGGCCACCATATCCTGACCAGGGACCCCCATCAGTGCACTTCGGGACCCCAAGAGCCAGGCACTGTGTTATACCCAGGGACCCCATACAGCACCCATAGGGACCTGCACCCAGGGACCCCCATCCAGCCCCCATTAACTCCATAGGGACCCCTATCAGTGCACTTGGGGGCCCCAAGACCCATGCACTGTGTTATACCCAGGGACCCCAAACAGCACCCACAGGGACCCCCAAACAGCCCCCATTAACTCCATAAGGATCCCCATCAGTGCACTTGGGGCCCCCAAGACCCATGCACTGTTACACCCAGGGACCCCATACAGCACCCATAGGGACCTCCACCCCAGCACCCCCAAACAGCTCCCATTAACTCCATAGGGACCCCATCAGTGCACTTGGGGACCCCAAGACCCATGCACTGTTACACCCAGGGACCCCATACAGCACCCACAGGGATCCCCAAACAGCCCCCATTAACTCCATAGGGACCCCATCAGTGCACTTGGGGACCCCAAGACACATGCACTGTGTTATACCCAGGGACCCCATACAGTACCCATAAGGACCCCCATCCAGCCCCCATTAACTCCATAGGGACCCCATCAGTGCACTTGGGGACCCCATAACCATCCTGACTGGGGACCCCAAAACCCAGGCACAGTGTTATACCCAGGGACCCCATCCAGCACCCATAAGGACCCCCCCCAAACAGCCCCCGTTAACTAAATAGGGGCCCCTATCAGTGCACTTGGGGACCCCATAACCAGCCTGACTGGGGACCCCAGGCGCCAGGCACAGTGTTATACCCAGGGACCCCCATCCAGCCCCCATTAACTCCATAGGGACCCCTATCAGTGCACTTGGGGACCCCAAGACCCATGCACTGTTATACCCAGGGACCCCATACAGCACCCATAGGGACCCCCAAACAGCCCCCATTAACTCCATAGGGCCGCCCATCAGTACACTTGGGGACCCCAAGAGCCATGCACTGTGTTACATCCAGGGACCCCAAACAGCACCCATAGGGACCCCCACCCAGGCACCCCCATTAACTGCCCAGGCACCCCCATCAGTGCACTTGGGGACCCCAAGACCCATGTACTGTTACACCCGGGGACCCCATACAGCACCCACAGGGACCCCCAAACAGCCCCCATTAACTCCATAAGGATCCCCATCAGTGCACTTGGGGACCCCAAGACCCATGCACTGTTACACCCAGGGACCCCATACAGCACCCATAGGGACCTCCACCCAGGCACCCCCAAACAGCTCCCATTAACTCCATAGGGACCCCCATCAGTGCACTTGGGGACCCCAAGACCCCCCAAACAGGCCCCATTAACTCCATAGGGACCCCCATCAGTGCACTTGGTGACCCCAAGACTCATGCAGTGTTATACCCAGGGACCCCATACAGCACCCACAGGGGCCCCTACCCAGCCCCCATTAACTCCATAGAGACCCCATCAGTGCACTTGGGGGACCCCAAAACCATCCTGACTGGGGACCCCAAAACCTAGGCACAGTGTTATACCCAGGGACCCCATACAGCACCCATAAGGACCCCATCCAGCCCCCATTAACTCCATAGGGACCCCATCAGTGCACTTGGGGACCCCAAGACCCATGCACTGTTATACCCAGGGACCCCATACAGCACCCATAAGGACCCCATCCAGCCCCCATTAACTCCATAGGGACCCCATCAGTGCACTTGGGGACCCCAAGACCCATGCACTGTTACACCCAGGGACCCCATACAGCACCCATAGGGACCCCCACCAGTGCACTCGGGGCTTTCCCCCCCCATTCCCCAACATGGGGTGCTCCCCCCCCTTCCCCACCGACCTTCCTCGGCACCGTCATGACGATGGGCTCACACTTGCGCTCATGGAGCTTGTAGAACCTATGGCGATGGGGACCAAGGGGGTTCCCTGGTGTGAACGGGGGGGTCCCCCTGTGTCGTGTCCCCCCCCCCCTCCCCGCCCCACGGCTGCCCCATCGCCCACCTGGCGATCTCGCACTTGCTGACGTCCAACCCGCGCTTGGGCATCCAGCCCATGCCCCGCTGCGGCTCCTTGCTGGTGAAGGTGTTGAGGAAGTGGATGTAGGGAGGCTCCTCCGTGATCTCGAAGTACCGGATGCTCGAGTCCCCCTGGGAACGCGGCGTTATTGGGGGGCTGGGACCATAGGTGGGGGGCAAAGAGGGGGTTCTGGGGGGTCCTTACCTTGCCGCACACATAGACCACGTTGGTGTCGGGGTCATAGAAAGGCAGCAGAGCCCCATTGCTGGAGTCCAGCTCCTGCAGCCCCATGGGCTCGTCCAGGTTCTCCTGTGGGGCAGCGCGTGAGCCCTATGGGGAGGAGGGGGTCCCGTCGTGTCCCCCCCACTCCGGGTGCTCCTCACCAGGTCCCACAGCGCCAGCTGCCGCTCGCTCATGCGGCTGAAGCCGGTGGTGAAGATCTTGCCGTCGGCCAAGAAGATGGCTCGCATGGGGCGAGCCCCCTCGTGGGCCCTCTCCTTCTCCTATGGGGTGGGGGGGACACGACGGGGTCAGCAGCACCCCATAGGGCACCCATGGGGCATGGACGATAATGAGGTCAGCAGCACCCCACAGGGCACCCATGGAGCATGAATGACAACAGGGTCAGCAGCACCCCACAGGGCACCCATGGAGCATGGATGACAGCGGGGTCAGCATCACCCCATAGGGCACCCATGGAGCATGAATGACAACAGGGTCAGCAGCACCCCATAGGGCAGCCACGGAGCATGGATGACGACGGGGTCAGCAGCACCCCACAGGGCACCCATGGAGCATGGATGACGACGGGGTCAGCAGCACCCCACAGGGCACTCCCGGGGCACGATGGATGCCAACGGGGTCAGCAGCACCCCACAGGGCACCCATGGAGCATGGATGACAACGGGGTCAGCAGCACCCCATAGGGCACCCCCGGGGCATGATGGATGCCAATGGGGTCAGCAGCACCCCACAGGGCACCCATGGGGCATGGATGCCAACGGGGTCAGCACCACCCCATAGGGCACGCATGGAGCATGGATGCCAGCGGGGTCAGCAGCACCCCATAGGGCACCCCTGGGGCACGATGGATGCCAATGGGGTCAGCAGCACCCCACAGGGCACCCATGGGGCATGGATGCCAACGGGGTCAGCACGACCCCACAGACCACCCATGGAGCATGGATGCCAGCGGGGTCAGCAGCACCCCACAGGGCACCCCCGGGGCACGATGCAGGATGCGGGCACCGCTGTGGGACGCCCCCATGAGGATGCCAGGGACCCATTGGGACCCAAGGCGTGTGTTTGGGGGGGGTCACTCACGGCCACCACGGTGCCGCGGCGCGGGTCGACCACGCGGACGCTCTTGTCCTTGCAGGCGGTGCAGAAGCGGGCGCCGTCGCGGCTCCAGCTCACGCTGTAGATGAGGTCCGGGTGCAGCCCGTCCAGGCGGTAGAGCTCCTCCGCCGTGCCCACGTTCCAGATGAGCACCACGTTGTCGCAGCCTTGGCGACCGCATTTGGGGTCACCCCCATCCCCGGTAGACCCACAGCCCCATACACCCCCCCGGTACCCCCGTACCGGCGCTGAGCAGCACGTTGCGGGCAGTGGGGTGCCAGGCGATGATGCCCACGCGCTTGGAGTGCCCCTCGAGCATCACCACCGGCTCCGTCAGCGGTTGGCTCAGGCCGCCCTCCGGGATCTGCCAGACCTATGGGGACAGCGAAGGCCACAGAATGGGGATGGCACGCACACCCCACACCCCCATCCTCCCCCCTTTTCCCCTCACCATAACGGTGCAGTCCTCGGAGCCGCTGGCGATGACGCGGTCGTTGTGGGGACACCAATCGATGTCCAGCACGGGGCCCGTGTGCCCGCACACCGTGGGGTAGGACTTGTCGATGCGGCCGGTCTGCGGCCACGGGGACATGAGGATTGGGGTTGGGGTCACCGCTGAATCCCATCCCCGCTCCCGCTCCCGCTCCCACCTTGTGCAAGGGGAGCACGAGGAAGGCGCCGCCGCCGCTGGCCTCCACGATGATGGCCACGAAGGAGGGGTTGACGGCGCAGAAGGTGCTGTCCCAGGTGACGCGGGACACGCGGATGTCGTCGTAGCACTGCTCCGTCTTCACCGGCTGCCCGAACACGTGCCGGAACTTGCTCTGCCGAACCACCTTCCGGAAGGACATGGCTGGGGAAAATGGGGAGCACCCAGCATGAGCGCCCCAGGGATGTGGGACCCGCTATGGGGTTGTGCGGTCCCGTCCCCATCCCTGCATCCGCTCCCCGCCCCGGGTAAAGGGCGGCTCGGCTCCGCCCCGAGCGGGAAGAGGGAGCTGCCCTGTGCCCGTCGGGCAAAGGGATCTGCCCTGCCCCGTGGTGTGGGGCTGGGGGACAGGGAGGGGCATTGGGGGGGGGGGGGCAATGGGGAGAGAAAGGGGAGGAGTGTGGGGTGATGGGATGGGGGGGTCCTGGGGGGTTATGGGGATGGGGATGGAGACAGGGCCAGGGGATGGGGACAGAAAGGAGGGCAGGTATGGCCTGTCAGGATGGGGATGGGATGGGATGGGATGGGATGGGATGGGATGGGATGGGATGGGATGGGATGGGATGGGATGGGATGGGATGGCCCCACTGGGTAAGGGGATGGAGATAAGGATAGGGGATGGGGTCAGAAAGGAGGGCAGGTATGGCCTGTCAGGATGGGGATGGGATGGGATGGGATGGCATGGGATGGGATGGGACGGGACGGGACGGGATGGGATGGGATGGCCCCACTGGGTTAAGGGGATGGAGATAAGGATAGGGGATGGGGACAGAAAGGAGGACAGGTATTGTCTGTCAGGATGGGGATGGGACGGGACGGGATGGGACGGGATGGGATGGGATGGGATGGCCCCACTGGGTTAAGGGGATGGAGATAAGGACAGGGGATGGGGTCAGAAAGGAGGGCAGGTATGGTCTGTCAGGATGGGGATGGGATGGGATGGCCCCACTGGGTAAGGGGATGGGGATGGGATGGGGGTGGCCCCACTGGGTTAAGGGGATTGAGATAAGGATAGGGGATGGGGACAGAAAGGAGGGCAGGTATGGTCTGTCAGGATGGGGATGGGATGGGATGGCCCCACTGGGTAAGGGGATGGGGATGGGGACAGGGGATGGGGTGGCCTCCCTGGGTTAAGGGGATGGAGATGAGGATAGGGGATGGGGACAAGGAATGGGGACAGGGATGGCCCTGCTGGGTAAGAATATGGGGACAGGCTAAGGGGTGAGCCCACTCCGTAAAGGGACAGGCATGGGAATGGGGTCAAGTATGAGGAGGAGGTGGCCTCTCTGAGTAAAGGAACAGGGATAAGAATGAGGACAGGGGATGGGAATGGGGACAGGGATGGGGACAGAGAATGGGGACAGGGATGGGGTGGCCCCACTGTGTAAGGGGACAGGGATGGGGACAGGGATGGGGTGGCCTCACTGTGTAAGGGGACAGGGATGGGACAGAGATGGGGACAGGGATGGGGTGGCCTCACTGTGTAAGGGGACAGGGATGGGGACAGGGATGGGGACAGGGATGGGACAGGGATGGGGACAGGGATGGGGACAGGGATGGGGTGTCCTCACTGTGTAAGGGGACAGGGATGTGGGGACAGGGATGGGGACAGGGATGGGGACAGGGATGGGACAGGGATGGGACAGGGATGGGGACAGGGATGGGGTGGCCTCACTGTGTAAGGGGACATGGATGGGGACAGGGATGGGATGGCCTCACTGTGTAAGGGGACAGGGATGGGGACAGGGATGGGATGGCCTCACTGTGTAAGGGTACAGGGATGGGACAGGGATGGGGACAGAGAATGGGGACAGGGATGGGTTGGCCTCACTGTGTAAGGGGACAGGGATGGGGACAGGGATGGGATGGCCTCACTGTGTAAGGGTACAGGGATGGGACAGGGATGGGGACAGAGAATGAGGACAGGGATGGGTTGGCCCCACTGTGTAAGGGGACAGGGACGGGGACAGGGATGGGACAGGGATGGGACAGGGATGGGACAGGGATGGGGACAGGGATGGGGTGTCCTCACCGTGTAAGGAAACAGGAATGCAAATGAGGATGGGATGGGGACAGGGATGGGGACAGGGAATGGGGACAGGGATGGGGACAGGGATGGGACAGGGATGGGGACAGGGATGGGACAGGGATGGGGACAGGGATGGGACAGGGATGGGGACAGGGATGGGGACAGGGATGGGACAGGGATGGGGACAGGGATGGGGACAGGGATGGGACAGGGATGGGACGGGGATGGGGACAGGGATGGGACAGGGATGGGGACAGGGATGGGGACAGGGATGGGACAGGGATGGGACAGGGATGGGGACAGGGATGGGGACAGGGATGGGGTGTCCTCACCGTGTAAGGAAACAGGAATGCAAATGAGGATGGGATGGGGACAGGGAATGGGGACAGGGATGGGACAGGGATGGGGACAGGGATGGGACAGGGATGGGGACAGGGATGGGACAGGGATGGGACAGGGATGGGACGGGGATGGGGACAGGGATGGGACAGGGATGGGGACAGGGATGGGGACAGGGATGGGACAGGGATGGGGACAGGGATGGGGACAGGGATGGGGACAGGGATGGGACAGGGATGGGGACAGGGATGGGACAGGGATGGGGACAGGGATGGGGACAGGGATGGGACAGGGATGGGGACAGGGATGGGGACAGGGATGGGGACAGGGATGGGGTGTCCTCACCGTGTAAGGAAACAGGAATGCACATGAGGATGGGATGGGGACAGGGAATGGGGACAGGGATGGGGACAGGGATGGGGACAGGGATGGGACAGGGATGGGACAGGGATGGGACGGGGATGGGGACAGGGATGGGACAGGGATGGGGACAGGGATGGGGACAGGGATGGGACAGGGATGGGGACAGGGATGGGGACAGGGATGGGGTGTCCTCACCGTGTAAGGAAACAGGAATGCAAATGAGGATGGGATGGGGACAGGGAATGGGGACAGGGATGGGGACAGGGATGGGGACAGGGAATGGGGACAGGGATGGGGACAGGGATGGGGACAGGGAATGGGGACAGGGATGGGGACAGGGATGGGACAGGGATGGGGACAGGGATGGGACAGGGATGGGGACAGGGATGGGGACAGGGATGGGACAGGGATGGGACGGGGATGGGGACAGGGATGGGGACAGGGATGGGACAGGGATGGGGACAGGGATGGGGACAGGGATGGGGACAGGGATGGGGTGTCCTCACCGTGTAAGGAAACAGGAATGCAAATGAGGATGGGATGGGGACAGGGATGGGGCAGGGATGGGACAGGGATGGGGACAGGGATGGGGACAGGGATGGGACAGGGATGGGGACAGGGATGGGGTGTCCTCACCGTGTAAGGAAACAGGAATGCAAATGAGGATGGGATGGGGACAGGGAATGGGGACAGGGATGGGGACAGGGATGGGGACAGGGAATGGGGACAGGGATGGGGACAGGGATGGGACAGGGATGGGGACAGGGATGGGGACAGGGATGGGGACAGGGATGGGGTGTCCTCACCGTGTAAGGAAACAGGAATGCAAATGAGGATGGGATGGGGACAGAGAATGGCGACAGGGATGGGACAGGGATGGGGACAGGGATGGGACAGGGATGGGGACAGGGATGGGGACAGGGATGGGACAGGGATGGGGACAGGGATGGGGACAGGGATGGGACAGGGATGGGACAGGGATGGGGACAGAGAATGGGGACAGGGATGGGTTGGCCTCACTGTGTAAGGGGACAGGGATGGGGACAGGGATGGGATGGCCTCACTGTGTAAGGGTACAGGGATGGGGACAGGGATGGGGACAGGGATGGGACAGGGATGGGACGGGGATGGGGACAGGGATGGGGTGTCCTCACCGTGTAAGGAAACAGGAATGCAAATGAGGATGGGATGGGGACAGGGAATGGGGACAGGGATGGGGACAGGGATGGGGACAGGGAATGGGGACAGGGATGGGGACAGGGATGGGGACAGGGATGGGGACAGGGAATGGGGACAGGGATGGGGACAGGGATGGGGACAGGGAATGAGGACAGGGATGGGGACAGGGATGGGGACAGGGAATGGGGACAGGGAATGGGGACAGGGATGGGGACAGGGATGGGGACAGGGAATGAGGACAGGGATGGGGACAGGGATGGGGACAGGGATGGGGACAGGGAATGGGGACAGGGATGGGGACAGGGACAAGGGATGCGGACAGGGCACGGGACGGCCCCAGCGTGTAGGGGGCCAGGGACGGGGCCGGGGGGACCCCGCTGGGTCAGGCTGGGGCTGGGGATCCCCGGGCTGGAGACCGGGGGGTACCCGGGGGACAGGGATGGGGCCGGGGCCGTCGCTCCGGATGCGGGTCCGCCCCCCCCCCATTGCCCCGGTCCCGCACGGGGGGGGTCGGTCCCGCACTCACCGGGGCCGGGGGGGGGCAGCGGCGGCGGCGGCAGCGCGGGAGGGGGCGGGGGCAGGAAGTGAGCGGGGCCGGACCGCACCGCGCATGCGCCACGGAACGGAGGGGGGGGGGAACCGGGGGAGGAGCGGGACCGGGAGGGGGCGGGACCGGGGGGCAAAGGGGGCGGGACCCGCAACTGGGATGGGGGGGAACCGGGAGGGGCTTATGGGGCTACTGATGGGGGGTGGCGATGGGGGGCACCGGGGTGGCGATGGGTGACACCGGGGTGGTGATGGGTGACATCGGGGTGGTGATGGGTGACACCGGGGTGGTGATGGGTGATACAGGGGTGATGATGGGTGACATCGGGGTGGTGATGGGTGACATCGGGGTGGTGATGGGTGACACCGGGGTGGTGATGGGTGATACAGGGGTGATGATGGGTGATACCGGGGTGGCGATTGGGGGCACCGGGGTGGCGATGGGTGATACCGGGGTGGTGATGAGTGATACAGGGGTGATGATGGGTGACATCGGGGTGGTGATGGGTGATACAGGGGTGATGATGGGTGACACCGGGGTGGTGATGGGTGATACCGGGGTGGTGATGGGTGACATCGGGGTGGTGATGGGTGACATCGGGGTGGTGATGGTTGATACCGGGGTGATGATGGGTGACATCGGGGTGGTGATGGGTGACATCGGAGTGGTGATGGGTGATACCGCGGTGGTGATGGGTGACACCGGGGTGGTGATGGGTGACACCGGGGTGATGATGGGTGATACAGGGGTGATGATGGGTGACACCGGGGTGGTGATGGGTGACACCGGGGTGATGATGGGTGATACAGGGGTGATGATGGGTGACACCGGGGTGGTGATGGGTGACACCGGGGTGATGATGGGTGATACAGGGGTGATGATGGGTGACACCGGGGTGGGGATGTGTGACACCGGAGGCACAGTGTGAGGTGACACCGGGGTGATGGGTGGCACGGAGATGGCAGTGGCGGCTGGCATGGGGGTGACAGTGGTGGACGGCATAGGGATAACGGTGGGCAGCACAGGGGTGATGGTGGTGGGTAGCACTCGGGTGGCAGTGGGTGGCACTGGGGTGATAGCAGTGGGTGACACTGGGGTGATAGCAGTGGGTGACACTGGGTTGGTAATGGCAAGTGGCACAGTGGTGGCAGTGGGTGGCACAGCACTGCCAATGGCGGGTGCCACAGTGGCAGCGGGTGACCCAGTGGTGGCAGTGAGTGCCACAGCGGTGACGGTGGCGAGTGGCACGGCAGTGGCTGCAGGTGATGCAGCAGTGTCGGTGGTGAATGCAGTGGCAGTGGATGCCATATGGGTGCTGGTGGTGGATGCAGTGGCAGTGGATGCCATATGGGTGCCAGTGGTGGATGCAGTGGCAGTGGATGCCATACAGGTGCTGGTTTTGGATGCAGTGGCAGAGGATGCCATAGGGGTGCCGGTGGTGGATGCAGTGGCAGTGGATGCCATATGGGTGCCAGTGGTGGATGCAGTGGCAGTGGATGCCCCAGCTGCAGTGGATGCAGTGGCAATGGATGCCATAGCAGTACCAGTGGTGGATGCAGTGGTAGTGGATGCCATAGGGATGCCGGCAGTGGATGCAGTGGCAGTGGATGCCATAGCAGTACCAGTGGTGGATGCAGTGGCAGCGGATGCCATAGGGATGCCGGTGCTGGATGCAGTGGCAGTGGCTGCCATAGCGGTCCCGGTGGTGGATGCAGTGGCAGTGGATGCCATAGCAGTGCCAAGGGTGGATGCAGTGGCAGTGGATGCCATACGGATGCCGGCAGTGGATGCAGTGGCAGTGGATGCCATAGCAGTCCCAGTGGTGGATGCAGTGGCAGCGGATGCCATAGGGATGCCGGCGGTGGATGCAGTGGCAGGGGATGCCATAGCAGTGCCAGTGGTGGATGCAGTGGCAGCGGATGCCATAGGGATGCCGGTGGTGGATGCAGTGGCAGGGGATGCCATAGGGATGCCGGCGGTGGATGCCCCCGCGGTGGCAGTGGATGCCACAGGGATGCCGGTGGTGGATGCAGTGGTAGTGGATGCCATAGGGATGCCGGCGGTGGATGCCCCCGCGGTGGCAGTGGATGCCACAGGGATGCCGGTGGTGGATGCAGTGGTAGTGGATGCCATAGGGATGCCGGTGGTGGATGCAGTGGCAGGGGATGCCATAGGGGTGCCGGTGGTGGATGCCATAGGGATGCCTGCGGTGGATGCAGTGGCAGCGGGTGCCATAGGGATGCCGGCGGTGGATGCCATAGGGATGCCGGTGGTGGATGCAGTGGCAGCGGATGCCATAGGGATGCCGGTGGTGGATGCAGTGGCAGCGGATGCCATAGGGATGCCTGCGGTGGATGCCATAGGGATGCCGGTGGTGGATGCAGTGGCAGCGGATGCCATAGGGATGCCGGTGGTGGATGCAGTGGCAGCGGATGCCATAGGGATGCCGGAGGTGGATGCCATAGGGATGCCTGCGGTGGATGCAGTGGCAGCGGATGCCATAGGGATGCCGGCGGTGGATGAAGTGGCAGCGGATGCCATAGGGATGCCGGCGGTGGATGAAGTGGCAGCGGATGCCATAGGGATGCCGGCGGTGGATGAAGTGGCAGCGGATGCCATAGGGATGCCGGCGGTGGATGCCATAGGGATGCCTGCGGTGGATGCCATAGGGATGCCGGCGGTGGATGAAGTGGCAGCGGATGCCATAGGGATGCCGGCGGTGGATGCAGTGACAGCGGATGCCATAGGGATGCCGGTGGTGGATGAAGTGGCAGCGGATGCCATAGGGATGCCGGCGGTGGATGAAGTGGCAGCGGATGCCATAGGGATGCCTGCGGTGGATGCCCCCGCGGTGGCAGCGGATGCCATAGGGATGCCGGCGGTGGATGCCATAGGGATGCCTGCGGTGGATGCCATAGGGATGCCGGCGGTGGATGCAGTGACAGCGGATGCCATAGGGATGCCGGCGGTGGATGCAGTGGCAGCGGATGCCATAGGGATGCCTGCGGTGGATGCCCCCGCGGTGGCAGCGGATGACTCCCCGGGTACCACGGCCGCCCCGAGGGCGCGCAGGGCGCGGGCAGCGCAGTGGCAGGCGCGGGTGCCGAGCAGGAGGTAGAGGCAGGGGTTGAGGCAGCTGCTGAGGTTGAAGGCGAGCCCCAGCGGGTAGAGGAGGTGCTCGGGGGCCGGGGGGCCCAGCAGCACGGCGAGCTGCGCGGCTTGGAACGGGAGGTGCAGCCCCACGTAGGCGCTCAGCGTGGCCCCCACGATGCACTGGAACCGCGTGGCGGGGCGGCCGCGGGGCCTGCGCCGGCACCGCACCAGCACCAGCGCCGCGCCGTGGCTCAGCACCACGACGGCGAAGGGCAGGAGCCCCTCCAGCAGCACCTCGAGCCAGCGCAGCGGCACCTCCCAGGCTCCCCGCTCGCTGCGGCACACGGAGAAGCCCGGCAGCGCCTCCTCCGTTACCGACAGCGCAGCCTCCGGGATGCTGCAGCCGCCGGCCAGCAGCCAGGCACCGGCGCACAGCGCCGCCGGTAAGCGGGCCGGCCGGCGGCAGCGGTACCAGAACGGGACGGCCACCAGCAAGCAGCGGTCCAGGCTGATGGCAGCCAGCAGGAAGAGGCTGCTGTAGTAGCCCAGCGCGTAGAGGAACTGATGGAGGCGGCAGCAGTGCGCGTCCAGCAGCCACCGGTAGTCGTTGGCCGCCGACCAGATCTGCAGCAAGGAGTTGCTGAGGAAGAGGAAGTCGGAGGCGGCCAAGCCGAAGATGAAGGCGGCCAAACCGCGGCACCGCAGCCGCCAGCCCGTCAGCCACAGGGTGACGGCGTTGGCCGGGAGCCCCAGCACGGCGCAGGCCACCAGGAGATGGGTGTCCCACCATAGGGCATCGTAGGGCGGCAGGGTCGGGGTGGGCAGCACGGTGCCGTTCCACGGCTCCATCGGCCCGGTTCTATGGGCAGCAGGGGGGGGGTGTCTCAGGTGTGGGGTGTCAACCACGCCGGCGTCACCCCCTCCGGTGTCATCCCTTCTGGTGTCACCTCCACCCCGTGTCATCCCCAATGGTGGTACCCCAAGCCCATCCCAAGTCACCGCAGCACCACACAGGCCCCAGACCCACAGCAGCCTGGTTTTCCCCTGCCCTACCATCGTTTTGGGGCGTACCCCCCTCCATGTCCTGTGGCATCCTTGTCCCCTATTGGCGGTATCACCCCATCATGCCATTGAGCCTGGAGATGCCCCACGCCAGGGGTCCAAGACCCCACCAGCTCCTACACTGGGGTTCAAGGGGGGTAAAGAGAGTAGGACCTACCTCAATGGTGGGAAGAGCTCGGGAGAGGCAGCGGATGGGGGGCACCCGGTTATGGGGTGTCCTCTGTGTGTGTGTGTGACAGTGGGAGGAGCCGCAGTGTCCCCACAATGGCATCTCTGATGCGCTGGCTTCCTGCTGCCACCCGCCCTATGTGATGGTATCAGGGACATGGGGGGACAGCCCGGGCCTGCCTTGTCACAGCCCTGCTGGGGACATGGGGGGGGACACTGGGGAGAGCGATGGGGACACGGGTTGGGGACGTGAGTGCTGGGGGCACTGGTGGTGGCCATGGGGGGCCAGCGCTAGGGATGTGGGTCTTGTCCTCATAGGATTGTCCCCCATGGGAGATTCCCCCAGTGGTGCATGTCCCCGTGGCACTGTCCCCCATGGCAGATGGTGACCATGGGGTGTCCCCACTGGGGCCATGGGTTGGTGCTGGGGCCATGGATGGTGTCCATGGGGTGTCCCCACTGGGGCCATGGGTTGGTGCTGGGGGCATGGATGGTGTCCATGGGGTGTCCCCACTGTTGCCATGGGTTGGTGCTGGGGCCATGGATGGTGTCCATGGGGTGTCCCCACTGGGGCCATGGGTTGGTGCTGGGGCCATGGATGGTGTCCATGGGGTGTCCCCACTGGGGCCATGGGTTGGTGCTGGGGCCATGGATGGTGTCCATGGGGTGTCCCCACACTGGGACCATGGGTTGGTGATGGGGCCATGGATGGTGTCCATGCGGAGTCCCATTGAAGCCATGGATGGTGTCTATGGGGTGTCCCCACTGGGGCCATAGGTTGGTGCTGGGGACATGGATGGTGTCCATGGGGAGTCCCATTGAAGCCATGGATGGTGCCTATGGGGTGTCCCCACTGGGGCCATGGGTTGGTGCTGGGGCCATGGATGGTGTCTATGGGGGGTCCCCATTGGGGCCATGGGTTGGTGCTGGGGCCATGGATGGTGTCTATGGGATGTCCCCATTGGGGCCATGGGTTGGTGCTGGGGACATGGATGGTGTCCATGGGGAGCCCCATTGGGGCCATGGGTTGGTGCTGGGGACATGGATGGTGTCCATGGGGAGCCCCATTGGGGCCATGGATGGTGTCCATAGGGTGTCCCCACTGGGGCCATGGGTTGGTGCTGGGGCCATGGATGGTGTCCATGGGGTGTTCCCTACTGGGGCCATGGGTTGGTGCTGGGGACTCAGGTTGGTGTCTATGGGGTGTCCCCACTGGGGCCATAGGTTGGTGCTGGGGACATGGATGGTGTCCATGGGGAGTCCCATTGAAGCCATGGATGGTGTCCATGGGGTGTCCCATTGAGGCCATGGATGGTGTCCATGGGGTGTCCCCACTGTTGCCATGGGTTGGTGCTGGGGCCATGGATGGTGTCTCTGGGGGGTCCCCATTGGGGCCATGGATGGTGTCTCTGGGGGGTCCCCATTGGGGCCATGGATGGTGTCCATGGGGTGTCCCCACTGTTGCCATGGGTTGGTGCTGGGGCCATGGATGGTGTCTCTGGGGGGTCCCCATTGGGGCCATGGATGGTGCCCACGGGGAGTCCCCATTGGGTCAGAGCCAGCACGGGGTGACCCCAGGACAGGTACCGGGGGTCCCAGCAGGGCCGGGGGCGCCGTGGCCGTGGGGCAGGTCCCGGTGCCCGTTTCTTGCCGTTAATCCCCGTTAATTGGCTTTGCAGCCCCCGGGCACACGGGAGGAGGAGGAGGACGGGGGGGCACCGGGGGTAAGAGGATTTCCTGCTCCCTCTTAAGGCTCGGTCCTCGCCCGGCGCTGCTCCTGCCCAGCGGCCCCGATGCCGCGCAGCCGAGGGGACAAGGGGACCCCCAAGGGCACGGGAAAGGACGGGGACAAAACCGCCCCCCCCCGGCCCCCCGAGGACGGCGGCAGCCGGAGCCCAGGGGCCGAGCCCCGGCACAGCGGGCACGGGCACCGGAGCGGGCGGAAGGGAGCCGGGGACCCCCATGCGGCCGCCGCCAAAACGTATTCGCCCTTCCTGAACACGGTGTTCGGCAAGGTGGGGGCAAGGGGGCGGGAGGGGGGCGAGGGGGAGCGGGGGGGACGTGGGGATGAGGTGGGGATGCGCTGGGATCATTGGGATGGAGGGGACGTGGGGATGAGGTTGGGGATGCTCTGGGATCATTGGGATGGAGGGGACGTGGGGATGAGGGTGGGGATGCTCTGGGATCATTGGGATGGAGGGGACGTGGGGATGAGGTTGGGATGCGCTGGGATCATTGGGATGGAGGGGACGTGGGGATGAGGTTGGGGATGCTCTGGGATCATTGGGATGAAGGAGACGTGGGGATGAGGTTGGGGATGCTCTGGGATCATTGGGATGGAGGGGACACAGGGATGAGGTTGGGGATGCTCTGGGATCATTGGGATGGAGGGGACGTGGGGATGAGGTTGGGGATGCTCTGGGATCATTGGGATGGAGGGGACACAGGGATGAGGTTGGGGATGCTCTGGGATCATTGGGATGGAGGGGACATGGGGATGAGTTTGGGATGCTCCTGGACCATGGGGATGGAGGGGACACGGGGATGAGGTTGGGGATGCTCTGGGATCATTGGGATGGAGGGGACGTGGGGATGAGGTTGGGGATGCTCTGGGATCATTGGGATGGAGGGGACGTGGGGATGAGGTTGGGGATGCTCTGGGATCATTGGGATGGAGGGGACGTGGGGATGAGGTTGGGGATGCTCTGGGATCATTGGGATGGAGGGGACGTGGGGATGAGGTTGGGGATGCTCTGGGATCATTGGGATGGAGGGGACACGGGGATGAGGTTGGGGATGCTCTGGGATCATTGGGATGAAGGGGACACGGGGATGAGGTTGGGGATGCTCTGGGATCATTGGGATGAAGGGGACACGGGGATGAGGTTGGGGATGCTCTGGGATCATTGGGATGAAGGGGACACGGGGATGAGGTTGGGGATGCTCTGGGATCATTGGGATGGAGGGGACACGGGGATGAGGTTGGGATGCTCTGGGATCATTGGGATGAAGGGGACACAGGGATGAGGTTGGGGATGCTCTGGGATCATTGGGATGGAGGGGACGTGGGGATGAGGTTGGGGATGCTCTGGGATCATTGGGATGGAGGGGACACAGGGATGAGGTTGGGGATGCTCTGGGATCATTGGGATGGAGGGGACGTGGGGATGAGGTTGGGGATGCTCTGGGATCATTGGGATGAAGGGGACACGGGGATGAGGTTGGGGATGCTCTGGGATCATTGGGATGGAGGGGACGTGGGGATGAGGTTGGGGATGCTCTGGGATCATTGGGATGGAGGGGACGTGGGGATGAGGTTGGGGATGCTCTGGGATCATTGGGATGAAGGGGACGTGGGGATGAGGTTGGGGATGCTCTGGGATCATTGGGATGGAGGGGACGTGGGGATGAGGTTGGGGATGCTCTGGGATCATTGGGATGGAGGGGACGTGGGGATGAGGTTGGGGATGCTCTGGGATCATTGGGATGGAGGGGACGTGGGGATGAGGTTGGGGATGCTCTGGGATCATTGGGATGAAGGGGACACGGGGATGAGGTTGGGGATGCTCCTGGACCCCCGGCGTGGGTGCTGGGCCAGCGCAGGGCCCCGGGGCCCCCCCTGGGGAGGGGGCAGGGGGAGCTCTGCAGGGGGACGGGCGCTGCTCCCCCTCCCCAGGGTCCCAAATCCCCCCCAGCAGCACCCATGGGTGCCGGGCAGGTGCGGGGGGGGGGGCGGGAGGAGGGGCCCCGGGGCAAGGGTTTGCTCCAATCCCGTTAATCCCTCCCGCGGGGCTAATTCTGACCCAGCACGGGGAAGGTGACGGGGGGGGGGAATAGGGGGGGGTGGTGCTGAGCCGGGGCTGAGGCTGGCCCCATCCCCCCCCGTGTGTGGCCGGTTCAGGAGCGGGAGCTGTCACCGGAGGAGCTGGATGGTGAGAGGGGACCGGGGGCACGGGGGGGCACGGGACATGGGGGGCAATGGGGCTATGGGGACATGACTATGGAGGGGTCTCCCATAGGGTGCAGTGCAATGGGGATGGGCGCCATAGAGGGCTCTGACGTGGGGGACAATGGTGCTATGGGGAGATGCACCATGGAGGGGTGTCCCATAGGGTGCAGTGCAATGGGGATGGGCGCCATGGATGGATCCCCTATAGGGTGCAGTGCAATGGGGATGGGCGCCATAGAGGGCTCTGCCATGGGGGAAAATGGTGCTATGGGGAGATGCACTATGGAGGGGTGTCCCATAGGGTGCAGTGCAATGGGGATGGGTGCCATAGAGGGCTCTGCCATGGGGGACAATGGTGCCATGGGGAGATGCACCATGGAGGGGTGTCCCATAGGGTGCAGTGCCATGGGGATGGGTGCCATGGATGGGTCTCCCATAGGGCACAGTGCAATAGGGATGGGCACCATAAAGGGCTCTGATGTGTGGGACAATGGTGCTATGGGGACATGCACTATGGAGGGGTGTCCCATAGGGTGTCAGTGCCATGGGGATGGGCGCCATAGAGGGCTCTGCCATGGGGGGACAATGGTGCTATGGGGACGTGCACTATGGAGAGGCAGTGCAATGGGGATGGGTGCCATAGAGGGCTCTGCCATGGGGGACAATGGTG